CACTCCAAAGAGAAAGGAAAACTTGAAATCGCATCATATGACCCCTTTAAAAAAATAGTTCCAACCGTTATTGTTGCTACAATAAAAATGTTACTTGGCACCACTGTAAAATAAAAAAAATAAATAAACAAAATAAAACAAAATAAAATACTTACCAAATCTGAATGCTTATTGCATTGTTTTAGCTACGGCAGTAACAAAGCTGTTAGCAGGGATGGGCAGTATTTGAAATACAAAATACAATTTCGTTTTTAAATACCTTTTTGCATTTAAATACATTTAATCTTAGTATTTTTGCATTTTCAAAATACATAAGGTACTTTGCCAATCAACCTCCTTATTAGACTGCTGATTTCCTGCAGGGATGGGCAGTATTTGAAATACATGTATTTTAAATACTATTTTGTATTTAAATACCTTTGGAAAAAGTCAAATGTATTTTGTATTTAAATACATTTAATCTTAGTATTTTTGTATACTTGTTGATCCAGGAAATCAGCCGTCTAATTAAGAGGTTGATTGGCAAAAAGTATTTTTGTCTTTTGAAAATACAAAAATACTAAACTTAAATGTATTGAATCAGGGTATCTTCCGTCCAATCAATTTTTGTTTTAATATTGAAATCTGAAAAATGAAAAACGGCACATATTTCGTTTTTCAATTATTCAAACAAAACGAAAAATCAAGAATGCGGCTTAATTTTTCGTTTTTACATTCAGGGATAGAAAACGAATAAACAACTTGAATATTCGGTCTCTACATGTGGGCGGGAATGAAACGCCCCTCTCTGCTAATTGGTCAACCAAACATTACAACATAATAATAGTCCTAAAAAAACCTTAATAATAGTCCTCCGCTTCTATTGATTCTTAACATGTTTATTTCTACTACATTTTATCTCTTCATCAAACAGCCAGATTAATGAATGGCTTGACACAAACCATACTGAAGCAGAGCCTTTTGGCCCTAGGCATACCTGTTTTATTATAGTTATCCACCCATTAAAAT